TTATAATTATGTCGTGTGTGTGGGTGCGTGAATAAATCATGTTAATGAGGTCGACCAGAGTTTATTTTCAGTCTGTTTTTTATGTATCGCCATTTGGATATGTTTATGTATTCACAATAGTTTGTAAACATTTCACATCAATAATAAAAGGTTTATTTGTTTCATAACACTGTCTGTTATTCTTCAGTAATCATGATGCGATTTATCAATACGTTGGGGAAAAAAGTTATGCTAATGAGGTCATCGCCATCTTGGATTACAAGTGGTAGTTTTTCCCGGCCGTTTCGACTTGCACTGATCACGGTTACAAAGAAAGTAACCGTGCAGTGATTACAATACCTACCATACTTTGTAGACAATTTCAGTGAGTAATACAACTTCATTCGCTGACATAAAACAAGTTTTATTCTTGAAATTCAACCCTGTGTTTTAGTGTTCCCACAGTTCTCACGAGTGCTCACGTTTATTGAAACCTCGCATAAATCAAGAAATAAGTACGTGTACAGAGTGTACGAAAGCATTCCTTTATTTGACCTTATCATACGATCACAAAAACAACTTTTTAAAATCTTTTTTGGGGTGGTCCTCGGGTAAGCGCCCACCCCCAATTTTTCCCGATTTTGTATGTTCAGGCCCCTGGGCGCGTGCCCGGGGTATTACGGTAACATTCCATAAAAAGGCAAATTTTGACTTTTTTCGGCATTCAAAATTTGCCATTTTTGGGTACACAACATCACCAATATTTAATGCATTTCAAATTATTATGTCACTTTTTTTCTTTGGTTAAAGAGAAGGCTGCAACAACATAACACACGACAGAAATACACATCTAGTAAATTTTTTTTAGTTGGCCTGTAATGACATGTACGTATAATATAATCTGCAAAAGGACTGACCCTGTTCCCGGAAACTAACAGGTGACGTATCAAAATGAAGCCGAAGATCATGGGATACATTGGATGATTCGGTATTCATTCTCTCTGCTGGAGAATAACACTGTGGTATTGATTCACCACCATCATCACCATCATTGCTGATTGGTTCTATAGTTGTTTCTCCTGCAGACGGTATAGCTTCATTTTCTTCTTCACTCCCGCTTGATATAGTCACACACTCTATATAAAGATTATAAATGTAAACAAAGAGAATATTGGGGGGAAAAAGCATGCCTTTCAATTTACCAATTGAGCCAGAAAATTAGTGTAGTATTTGTAGTGAAAATGCATATGCACATGAGAACACTAGCAAGTTTAAGATGCTTACTGTTTGAAAATTAGAACAGAAAAATGTTTCCATGACGGAGAAAGCGTGGCTTTGTGGTTTATGTGACCAAACAGAAAATGATTATCACTTTTTATTAGTTTGTACTTTCAGATCTCAGAACCATGTGTATATACCACATTTGTTCATTACCCACAAATACCAAATTTATCACTTTAATCAAACCTTTTATTTAGCATCTAGCCGGCTTTGTTTTCCATGCTATCCTCGGGGCGGACATCCGGGCATTTTCACCGCCTGGCAACCCGCGGCGGTGAAAACAAAGGCCCAAAACTTGCAGAAAACGATACTTTGGGGTGATTGTTGAGACTCCTCTGAACAGTGCAACAAGATTAGCCCAACGTGTGTAACATATATAAATTTGATTGTTCGGGATTACTTCAAAGTTGAGTTTGTATTGTTTTCTGAATTTTCACCGGCTCGACCGGCGTTCCACAGCAGCGCGCACAGAGCCCATAGAAATGCATGGTACAGTGGTGCGCGTCGTAGCAACGTGGAACGTCTGTGACGTAGCTCCGCCCCCGAGGATAGGACTGAGACAGACAGGGAGGTTACAAAGCTACAGTAAATCCAATGCTTTGGTTTTGTATTAGATGAGAACACAACAAGCACCTGTGATAGTTGCAAGGCAGTGAAAATGCCTGAATGGCCTGCCCTCTAGAATTATATTCAAAAAATGTAGCTGGGTTTTGTGACTGTACACTGAACAGCAGATCCTGTTATTAAATAAGAAATAGTATTACTGACCTGGTTCTAACACTTCACGTACTTTCCGTTTCCGTTTTGCAACAGATGAGTAACTTTTCTCAGTACATTGACTACCGCTTAGTGTTTCACATTTTGCACGTCCATAAGTTTTTAAAACAGGTTTCACAGAAAAGAGTTTATCATCATCATCATCTTCTTGGGGGCTGGACATATCATTCAATAGAGCGCCATAGTAAGTCTTTGCATTCACAGTAGAAACTTTGGATTTTTTTGTTTTTGTTTTGATACAGCAAGGATCAATTTTTCTACGACAACGTGACCAATCACACAGTTCAAGGTCACGTGAAATATTCCCACAGTGGGAGCATGCTGCACATTTGTACGTCTCTTTTTCTTCTTCTTCTTCTTCATTTTCTCCCCGCAGTGATATTTCTGTGATAAATAATTATCCTTCATAAATATCACACTAAAACCTATGATGACATTGGGCTATACAATCATAGATTTGTGATGGTATACAACTTGAAAACGTGTGTCATGATGCACATACTTGAATATATTCTTAACATCACATAACAAAGTAAACATTTGGAAAGACTCAAATTAGCAAGATTGTAATAACACTATATGCATGTAGCACATGCTCTATAAATATTACAAAAACTGCCTTGAGGCAAACAGAAAGCATTTTTCACAGATTCACTCCCTTGCATTACCATTTCTACAAATTTGGATTTTTAAGATAATTTCTCAATTCATTGTTTACCTTCCTGCTTGGCAAAATTTATATCAATCTAAATCAATACTTAGTTGGTCTCTTCTTGATACAATATTAAGTATCTTGCAAAAACACAAACCTGACTAATTTACTTTAATTCAATTTCAAACAACTCGTACTACACCACATACACATACCTGATTCTTCAGGTAGCTCAGCCTCAAACTACAGCAGTTTCACAGTAGAGTTAAATAAGTCAATGTACCTGATTCTTCAGGTAGCTCAACCTCAAACTACAGCAGTTTCACAGTAGAGTTAAATAAGTCAACATACATGATTCTACAGGTAGCTCAGCCTCGAACTACAGCAGTTTCACAGTAGAGTTAAATAAGTCAACATACCTGATTCTTCAGGTACTCAGCCTCAAACTACAGCAGTTTCACAGTAGAGTTAAATAAGTCAACATACCTGATTCTTCAGGTAGCTCAGCCTCAAACTACAGCAGTTTCACAGTAGAGTTAAATAAGTCAATGTACCTGATTCTTCAGGTAGCTCAACCTCAATCTACAGCAGTTTCACAGTATAGTTAAATAAGTCAATGTACCTGATTCTTCAGGTAGCTCAGCCTCAAACTACAGCAGTTTCACAGTAGAGTTAAATAAGTCAATGTACCTGATTCTTCAGGTAGCTAAACCTCAAACTACAGCAGTTTCACAGTAGAGTTAAAAAAGTCAACATACCCGATTCTTCAGGTACTCAGCCTCAAACTACAGCAGTTTCACAGTAGAGTTAAATAAGTCAACATACCTGATTCTTCAGGTAGCTCAGCCTCAAACTACAGCAGTTTCACAGTAGAGTTAAAAAAGTCAACATACCTGATTCTTCAGGTAGCTCAGCCTCAAACTACAGCAGTTTCACAGTAGAGTTAAATAAGTCAACATACATGATTCTACAGGTAGCTCAGCCTCAAACTACAGCAGTTTCACAGTAGAGTTAAATAAGTCAACATACCTGATTCTTCAGGTACTCAGCCTCAAACTACAGCAGTTTCACAGTAGAGTTAAATAAGTCAACATACCTGATTCTTCAGGTAGCTCAGCCTCAAACTACAGCAGTTTCACAGTAGAGTTAAATAAGTCAATGTACCTGATTCTTCAGGTAGCTCAAACTACAGCAGTTTCACAGTAGAGTTAAATAAGTCAACATACCTGATTCTTCAGCTACCTCAACCTCAAACTACAGCAGTTTCACGGTAGAGTTCAATAAGTCAACATACCTGATTCTTCAGCTACCTCAACCTCAAACTACAGCAGTTTCACAGTAGAGTTAAATAAGTCAACATACCTGATTCTTCAGCTACCTCAACCTCAAACTACAGCAGTTTCACGGTAGAGTTCAATAAGTGAACATACCTGATTCTTCAGCTATTTCAACCTCAAACTACAGCAGTTTCTCAGTAGAGTTTAATAAGTCAACATACCTGATTCTTCAGGTAGCTCAGCCTCAAACTACAACAGTTTCACAGTAGAGTTAAATTTAGGCGAGGGTTCTCCGAACCCGCCTACTCACATAGTTCATACCCACCATAGACTCCGGTCAGTCAAAATGACTATTTTGAACTGTAGGCATTAATCAGCGATTCTGCCGGTGACGGAGAGATAGAATCCAGGTCAGGAGAT